TAACCTCACTTGTTACCTCGAAACACAATCATGTCCCTCGAACGGGGGGATGCTTTAGCACTGTCCCTCGATTAAAAAGATCATAGTCCCTCGATGATCCTTTCGATGCTTCCTTTGGTAAATGATCTAGTCCCTTACGAATTTCTAAAGCGCCCTTACGAGTTGCCTTTTATGACTGTATGATGATCCGCGCCCGCCCCTTCACATCCAACAATAGGGCTTCCTACTAACTAATGGTAGAGTAGCATTATCTAAAGGAGGAGGAAAAGAACAATGAAGATTTTGAGTAGGTAGATAATTCTTAATCGCTTGCTCACAAATGAAACAAACATTGTTTCACACAAACACTTTCAGAAATATTTTCAAACAAACCCTTTGTACGCATTCTCAAAAGTCATTACAAATTTGTCTTACTATTAGCATTTCAAAATATTTTTCAAACACACAACACAAAGCATTTTCAAAATAAAGTGAGATAGCAATTAAGGGCCCGTAGATAACTACAGATGAAAAGGGTGCCAGCACCTTCCCTTTTCATAACCTACCCCCCGAACTCAATAATCTCAAGATTTTTCCTATTCTTTTCATCCTTTCCTTATTGGATAAAAGAAAAGTTAGTGGTGACTCTTGCTATCCGCAACATTCGCAATAAAATGCAAAACCAAAAGTTAGTTCTCCCATAGTATTATAGTATGTAATAAATAAAAAAGTAGGAAGTTTTTTGTGACTGATACAAAATTATCAAAAAGCTAAATAATTTCAATAATAAACAAAGTGAACTTCTACAAGTTCAGTTGTGATCATGTGCTATGTTGTTTACTTATTTTTATAAGATTAATAATGTAAAATTAAATGTGTGCTTATAAAGTACTAAAGTCTCAATGTACCACTCACAATTAGATTTATGACCATGACTAGTTGTCTTATTCAATATGTGGTTACAAATGTGTTGGTACCAAGAAAATAAACCCATAGTCAACTACTAAAGTTAGACACAGTTGTTACCAGGCTCCTGATTGACAACATCTAAATCAGCTAGGTAAGTGGGGTGATGCAACACATGTTGGAGTGTAGATTGGGAGATTTTTGGTTGTCTTATGGCGATCTCATAAAAAATATTTTGATTTATGTTGGGGTAAGTTTGGAAGGAGAAAAACATGACTTAAGCATATCAAAGATTAGTTTAAGAAATATAAATAATATGAATGTATCGAAAATAGGGAAAACCTCGATCTATGCTCCTAATACTTTCGATGAGCCATCTCCTTAATCCCTTTTTACTTCTTAGCTACCAAAGAATGTAAATATGGAAGAGTTTGATCATGAAGTTCCTTAGACATATCCTAATTAAGGTCTCTTTGAAAGCATACTTGCAAGGTTTAAATATAACAAGATACTTCTTTGTCATGTGACAACCATATTCGACCATCACATATCACTTGGCTGATATGAGGGTCATAGTTTCTCTTGAGTTTCAGAGTTTTAATAATGAAGATGGTGCATTGTAGTAGCATTATGTAGCTTTTATTTACTTGTATTGTTTTCTTTGATTGATTTGTTGTTTCCCTACTTTATATTGAACTTTAGTCTTTCATCTATATATGAGATGGTTTTTGCCTATTACTTCTTCTCTATATGTTTTATGCAATGTGATATGTTATCTGTTTCCATGCTTTTTTATTATGTAAAATGAGAATAAGTATATACTAATGGGAAGTATGCTCTCTTTATCTGTCAGGAGGAGCTAACACTTTAAACTTTTTTTTTATTCTTGACATATACCTTAGCCATGTCATTGAGATGTACATTGTCATCATAACAAATGAGAAATATGGTTTTATGCACTTAACAAGTATGTCAAAGGTTTTAATCATGGTAAAGAAAACAAATAAAAATCATAAACGTCATCACACAAAGAAGACAATATGAAACAAGTAAAAAAGTGAGAAACTCTTTATGACTAGTGAAAAACTATCAAAAGCTAAAGAACTTCACCAAGAAACATAGTCTGATGCTAAAAGATTGATTACGATATTATACTCTATTGTTTATTCATTTTTATAGGATCAATAATGTAAAATTATGTGTGTTCTCTCAAAGTAGTAAGGTAGTATCACACACAAATACACATTAAAATCTATTATCATATTTCATATTTTTCAAAAACATCTTCTAAAACTTATTTGTTTAGCCAAACTTTTAATCCATTATAAAACAAATATTTGCTTCCTAATCGATTATGAAACTTATGTAACCAATTACGGGACAAGCTATCTCAGTAATCAATAAAAGGAAGTCTTTTAATCAATTATGGTTCAAACCCATAAAAACATTTCTTATTTTGTTAGGTCATAATCAATTATGATTGCAACCTAATCGAAATTGATTTGGATCCAGCTCTTAAACAATGATAGAGTAACATTGTTAATTGAAGACAAACCTTACAACATTAACAAAGCAACCTTGCAACAATGACAACATTACTCAAGCAAAGGTTTTTGTGATCAACATGATGATCAAAAACCAAGATAAAATCTAAAAAATACTAAAAAAAATTGATCTTCTTCTTTAAGTCATCATAAGTGTTCTTTGTTAAATCATATTTTTTCTTCAACTCATTAACCTACTTCAAAAGCGATTTAATCACTTCATGTGAATGTCCAGGTATCTTCTCATCATACCAATAAAAAAAAGAACATCATTTCCTTCCTTGTAACTGAATGAAACATAATAGAACGTGAAAGTTAGAAATTACCCACAAATTTTAGAATTGAGAAGATGAATAATACTAAAAATTAGGGATCTATATGTACCTTGTATAACCCACAATCATAGAACCTTTGACCCGAATTCTGAGATGTCCATACAGTTCAAGTGGTGAATTCAACCCATAATAACGTTGCATCATTCTCCTCCTAAAATGAGAAGAAGACCTTAGTATTTGCATAGACTCATAATACATTACAAAGGAGAAGAGCGAGTTAGGGGAACGATGAAAATATAGCTTGAAGAAGATAACGAAAGACACATAGTGTAACACTGAACAGTGCGACAATGGAAGAAAAACAAAAACACGATGGTGGAAACAAGGAAGACGATGGAAGAACTTTTAAGTTTTATTTGTTTCAATTAATATATTAGATTTATATATTATTAAAGTTTATAAAAAAAATTTTGTTCATTTAAAAATGACCTAACAACAAAATTAATGTCACATATTAAAAAAATTGACACACCAACGCTTTTGGATGGAAAAGAGGTATGTGAGACTAAAACTATTTAAAAATAAACAGGATAACTGATTTTGAGAGTGGATAAAATAGGGGGACCAAAACTGTGATTTAGAGTATTTTTTTAAAAAATCTTAAATTAAAAAATTGAATTATTATTAAATATTAATTATAATATAAATAATATGTATATGTGTGACAATTTAAGTTTGGCATTCAGGCCCAATAGGGATTGCTCACACTCTAATATACCCATAATTTTTGTTGCACATGATTTTGAGTACATCGGTCTAAATTGGATGAACATGTTTTTTTGCACTCCAAATTTAAATTAAAGGTGGTTAAAAGACATGTTTGCTCCGCAAAAGCACACACAAATAGAGTGAAGCTGACATTATTGGAGGTACGGATCTAAAACTTTGATTCATTCTGCAAAAAATAAGAACATGACGGAGTGAGTCCACATACAATGTACCTTTAAATTTTAAAAATTATAAAAATTTATGTTAATGTCTGATGTCATAACAAAATGGAGCAGAGCGAGACGAACATATTATGGAATATTAACCTAAATTTTTTGTCTATTTTCCAAAAATATACAGAGAAAATAGACATATCTAACCAGTCAGACTCATTGTACCACCTTAATTTAAACTCTAAAATAAAGAGTTTTTTTTGATAGAAATCGAATATCCTCTGCGCGTAACTGTAGAGACTAATCTTTTAAATCGAGTAAGATCATAATGGATGGAAAAAATCTCCTTAAAAAATTCAATCTTATTGCATGTTATAGATCGAAGAGATCCCTTTCCATGTCATTTAGAACATAATCATCGGTCATCTTTCAAGATTTCTACAATGTTTTTTTTAGACGAATTTGTTAGAGCTTAATGGATAATTGAATAGGAAAGGTGTTAACCTCGATTCTACAAATATTTACTTTTTTTTTCTTTTAAATTTTTTATTAAACAATACTCAAAATAATACAAATGAGTGTTATATTGTGGAGTTTAATGAAAGCCATTTTAAATTTTTTGAAGAATTATTTAAATATTTGAAAAACATAATTGAATTGTTTGAATAATTGAGAAAAGTGAAACAATACAAAATGGAGTATTAAGTGGAACCCTTTTAAAAATGTCAAATGAGTATTAAAAAGAAAGTTCTATTATGGATGGTTTCTTAATAGATTAATTAATTAAAACAATGTACTACTATTATTAACTCCCCTAATTATGCATAGAAACTTTATAATATTAAATATATATCCTTCCCTCCCCCATGTGTTTATAAAGTACTACCTCTATGTATCTTTTTCAAACTTCAGAGTTTGAACACTGCTTGTCTCTGTAATGCAGCAAAATAGTACACACTCTAGTACCTCACACTCTCCCCCAAAAATCAGCGCGTGCTTTCACTCTCTCTCCTCTCTCTCCCTCTCTCTCTCCCACGATTATTGTCTCCACATTCCACTCCACTCTCTCAAAACCTCAACACCACATTCAAATTCTCTCCCTCTCCTCAAACCAACCATCACTACAAAAACCAACCAACCAAAACCTCAACCTCAACAAACTCAAAAAAACACTCTTTCTCTGTTTCTCTCTCCTTCTTCTGTCTTCTACAAAACCACATTCACACTCTTACACAAAGTTCTGTCCTTTTTCACACAATCACCAACCCATTTCCTTCAAATCCTCAAAACCAACCTCCACTCACCCTTTCATGCAAAGATTTCATCTGGGTCTGTCTCAAAATCCAACCTTGATGATGGATTCTTCTTCATCTCCTCTCTCTCTTCAAACCCCTTTAACAGAATCCTCACCAAAACACACCAAAAAAACCTTACTTTCATCTCTAATCGGCACCAACACCCCTTCATCTCTTAGAACTCCTTCCTTTGAAGAAGACAATTACTTTATCAACCTTCTCAAATCCTCAGAGAAAAAAGCTCTTCAAGACCTCAAAAAACACCTCCTTGAATCCACCACCTCTAATGGAACCGAAGCTGGAGTTTCCATGTGGGGTGTTCCTCTTCTTGGTGGTGACGACAGAGCTGATGTAATCCTCCTGAAATTCCTCAGAGCAAGAGACTTCAGAGTCAATGAATCCCTCAACATGATTCTAAAGTGCTTATCTTGGAGAAAAGAGTTCAATGCTGACACAATAGTTGAAGAGGATTTAAGTCAGTTCAAGGAGCTAGAAGGTGTTATAGCTTATATGCAAGGCTATGACAAAGAGGGTCACCCTGTTTGTTACAATGCTTATGGTTTGTTTAGAGATAAGGACATGTATGAGAGATTCTTTGGTGATGAAGAGAAGCTCAAGAAGTTTCTTAGATGGAGAGTTCAAGTTCTTGAAAGAGGTATTAGGCTTTTGCATTTTAAGCCAGGTGGTGTTAATTCTCTTATTCAAGTGACTGATCTTAAAGATATGCCTAAAAGAGAGTTGAGGGTTGCTTCTAATCATATTATGTCACTTTTTCAAGATAATTACCCTGAAATGGTTGCTAGAAAGGTACCATTTTTGTTTCAGTAAATCATTAATTTTAGTGGTTTTTGTTCATGTGGTGATTAAGTTGTTGTTTTTACTTGTTTTGGTGATTTAGATCTTCATCAATGTGCCATGGTACTTCAGCATGTTGTATTCAATGTTTAGTCCTTTTTTGACTCAAAGGACTAAAAGCAAGTTTGTGATCTCAAAAGAAGGAAATGCTGCTGAGACACTCTACAAGTGAGTACTATATTTTAGTGGTTCCATTTGGATTGTTTTTCTGTCCATTCTTTTGAACCTTATACTAGTCATAAATACTTTACTTAATCTAGAATGTTTTACTTGGGTTTGGTTCTCTCAATTTTTATCTATATTAAGATCCTCTACCACATTGCAATTTTGATTTTTTTCATTAACTACTTTTAGTATTGAAGTTGTTCTTATGCTTTCGTTTAGTGCATCGCGCGATCAAATAAATCATGTGTAACTTTTGACAAGATTGATCCCGAATTGCCGCTATAGCAGGTGTTTACTTAGTCAGCACATTAGTGGATCAGATGGTCTAGATTTCAAGCTGGAAATCTAGACTAGTCGATCACGATTCAATACTTATGTGCTGATTATGAAATTGCTGACCGCGCACACAATAATTGTGTCAAAATCATAGTGATACTAGCCCGTTGTGAATTTTGTAATCTTTTGGCGAAGGCTTGGGACGCGAGAGTGTGCTCTTCTCATGGTCTCAGGTTCAAATTCTGTTAGGTGCTAACAATCTCTGTTGATCTAGTGGACGGTGAGATTGATTCCCTAGGATTAGTTGAACTCAAATACTTAGTTTTCAAAAATAAACTTCAATCAAAAGATGCACTTACTATTAAAGAGCAAATAATGTTCCAATTCTTCTTCTATTTCCATTAATGGCTTTGGTTACTAAAACATGTTTTGTCATGATCAGATTCATTAGACCAGAGGATATTCCTGTTCAGTATGGAGGGCTGAGTTTTCCCAGTGATTTGCAAAATGGTCCCCCAAAACCTGCTTCTGAATTCACTGTCAAAGGAGGAGAGAAAGTGAATATACAAATAGAAGGAATTGAGGTACTAATCATTCACCCCATTTCATTCATGCAAGTGGTTTCTTTCCTTTTTAGATTAAATATTCTCTTTTGATTCTCTCATTCATTCAAAAACTTCCCCTAAAGTGTTTTAGGATTTGGCAAATTGGTACCTGAAATTTCCTTATTTACAAAATGACCCTTTAAGCACTTACATCACTTGGTCACTCGTCATTATTATAAGCAAATATTCTCTTTTCATGTTTATGTATCTGGTCTATATATGAATCTGATACATAAATTATTCAGTGTTCCTTAAAGCAAAATATACGCGCTTATGTTATTAACTTGTTGTGGTGATGAACTAGGGAGGTGCAACTATCACTTGGGACATTGTTGTTGGAGGCTGGGACTTGGAATACAGTGCTGAGTTTGTTCCAAATGCTGAAGGAAGCTACACTATAGCAGTTGAGAAGCCGAGAAAGATTGGATCATCCGAAGAAGCAATCCACAACTCGTTCACATCGAAAGAATCCGGCAAAATGATACTCTCGGTCGACAACACCGCCTCAAGGAAGAAAAAAGTCGCTGCGTATCGTTACGTCGTCCGAAAATGCACCGCAACTTGATGAAAGATCGCCTTTGGAAACCCAAATTTGGGAAGCTATGACCTCTAAGTAGCTTTTAGTTTTAAATTTTGCTAATGATGTTATTTTTGTTTAAACCTTTGGTTTATGTTTTTGAACTTGTTTATGGCATGTTAAAATTTAGAGGTATTAACTAGTATTAATATTAATTAAGTAGTGATTAGTGTAATGTAAAGAAGAGAAGAATGTTGGTAATAGTACTAAGTATTATGTTGCTTGGTATAGAAGAAAAGCAATTAAGTTTGCTTATATAACATACCATGTTACTGTTATTTTGGGACAGAGTATTATGTTGCAATCTAAATGGAGGTAACTTTATTATAAGTTAGAAATGGAAGTTTCATATTTTAAATATGAATTTTGTACTTATTTATGGTTTGATTAACTTTAATATGAATATTTATAATTTAATGTTAATGGTGTCAAAATTGATGTCTCGACTTTTATAATTATTAGTAACATTTTTTATGATAATTTTCATATAATTAATTTTTATAATTAGGTTTTATTTTGAGAACTGGTTCTAACTATTAATTATACTCTCTTCATTTCTTTTCAATTATCTTTTTTGCATTTTACACATAACAAAATAAAATTAATGATTGTTGTTATTTTTTAAACAATAATTTTTCTTTTACCTATAATATTTTTAATTTTTTATTATTTTAATTTACTTTTTCTTTTTTTATAATAAATGATTAGGAGTAATTTTAACAAAACTATTACTAGTATTATTTTAAAATTTAAAAATAACAATTAAAAAGAAATATAAAATTTTAATAAAAATCGCTAATGCTAACAAACCAAAAAATTAAATATTGTAAAAAATTGAATCTTATTTAATGTGTTTGGATTCTTTTTTATGAAAACAGTTTACATTGGATTGAATTTCATATTAATTTTTTTAAAAAACTTATTAAAACTAAAATGTGTAGACATATTTTAATATTTATTTATTTTTTATTAATATGACATGTTATATTAATTTATTATTAGTTGATATTTAATTTACTTTAAAACTATTTTTAGTTTTATTTATTTATTTATTTATATATATATATATATATATTTATATATTTATTTATTTTTAATATTTTAATTGTTTAAAACATAATCAATTATTTTTATTTTAGTTGTATTATATGTTATATATTACTTCAAAAATATTATTGTATAGTGTATTTTTATAATGTTAATATTAATAATTAATTATAATTTCTAATTTGAATATTAAAAAATTGAAATAAATTAAATTGTATAATATTGAATATGATTTAATTGTATTTTTAATTATTAATTCAAAATCAAACCAAACCGTGAGTAATTTGATTTTTGAATTAAATGAATTTTTGATTTAAATTGTACTTTGTAAATTTTAACTCAAACATAATTTTATAAGTTGATCAAATATTTTAGATTTAGATTCAATTCTTAAAATTTTCATATGGTTAAATTTCTTTAAAAAAAGATACTCTTGACTTAGAGAATTAATTTTTATAATTGTTTGTAAAAAAAAAACAATTTATGCATTAAAAAGAACAAACAATTTTAGGATCGAATTAGGTCCATATTATTAGAACTTTATTTTATGTCGGGTTTAGTTAATAGAGGAAAAGTGTTAGTGATATATTAACAAAAATTGAAAAAGAAGTTTGAATTAGAATTGATATTGACAAGACAATGTGTTTTATAGGTGAGAAAATATGAATTGGAAGATGATTGTGACATTAAAGTTCCAAAAAAAGAAGCGGGAATAGTTCACGGGTAGAGAGTGGTAACGTGTTGAGGGAGCCTTCAAATTTTGTGATAGTGATGTTATCTTCTTGTTTCATGAACCATTTTGGCATTTTACCTTTTCCTTTTCAAATTCAAATTTTGATTCTATTCTCTTCTTTTATTTGTCCTCTTTACCTTTTTCTCTTGTCTTTTATATATATATATATATATATATATATATATATATATATATATATATATATATATATATATATATATATATATATATATATATATATATATATATATATATATATATATATATATATATATATATATATATATATATATATATATATATATATATATATATATATATATATATATATATATATATATTCAAATTATTTATTTATTTATTTATATAAAGAACTCTTCATATTTTTAAACCTTCACCTTTGCCATATAAAAAAATCTTCATAATTGATTTTTAATTTCATTCACCTAAAATATCAATAAATAATTTATCATATATTTTTATTATAGTCTTAAATATTTATTATTCACTATTCTTTCAAATTTTAAAATTTTCTTTTCTTTATTATCAATACACATAAAATTTTATAAAAAAAATATGAATTTTCTTTTCTATATAATAATAATTATTATTATATTACGTAAACTTTCACAACAAATATTATAATGATATATTTCCATTCCATATCCTAACCTGAATATTTTGATGTTATATTTTCATTCCAAATCTTAATTTTTTTATGTAAATTTTAATACCATATTTTTATTACAAAATTCACTGATCCTCCAACTAAATAAACTTTTAATTCTATTTTCTAATATGAAAATTGATACCTATTGTTGTATTCTAATTTTTGCTCCTAAGATCCTTTCATCATATCATATTATTTCAATCACAACAAGATCACATTAGGGTTTTTGGTTCTTCTCTCTATCTTTAGCCTTGTTCTTTTGAGGAGTTACCAAGCACGTTGACTTGTTTTCTTTTGTGATCATGGATATTTTGCTTTGATTTTCTCTGTAATTAACAAAATGCAATATTGGTTTGTCTTACTTGTTAATAATGTAGGTAAAGGCAATGAGGTTTAGCAAGTTGCTTCATGGGTTCATGAGTTTATTTCGATACCCTAGTCAATAGCTTGAGAAATTCAAACTTCACCATTGAAGTTGTTTTGGAAGAATTGGTATGGAGGTGGTTTTGGTGGCCATGAGTCTTCATCATCATCCTCAACAATTTCTATTCACAAAGGAAGAATATTGGCACAAAAAGTTTGTTCAAACTTGGCAAAGTTCCTCAAAGCATTCTCTTGATCTAAAGGTTAGGGTTTTGGACTTCAAAGGGGGCATATCTTGCTCATCTTTTGATATTTTTGAGTGATTCCAAAAAAATTCTTCTCTACAAAGAGTTACCAACAAATCAATTCAAAAGTTCCAAGGAGTTTCCATGTGGAAGAAACTTGGTGAAGAGGAAAGATTACAAGTCATCCAGATGAATCCTCAATTTTCCATATGTGACTTCAAATAGTCATAACTTGGTCAATTTTTATCACCTTGAGCCCATTCTTTTTTCATGATGATCCTAAGGATGTGTAATTCATGCATTCTTTTATGTGCAAAGTGAGAAAATGGATGAAAGTTGCCTTAAGAATGCAAAAGATTATAGGTCATTTCATGATTTTTGACCAACTTCAACAAGTCATAACTTGCTCAATTTTTGGAATTTTTGAGTGGTTCAAATTGCAAAATGTCACTCAAGGGGTCTACTTAATTCGATCTTCTTTGGTCAAGAGCAAATTCTAAGTGAAAAGCCATGTTTGGATGCAAAAGATTATAGGCCATTTTTAAAGAAGAATTTGAAATATTTCTAAGTATGGAAAGTCAACTCTTTTTCTTCAACTTTGACTCCATGTAACTTTCAGCTCAAGCATCCATTTGATTCCATTCTTTTTCCATTGCAAATATTGTAACCTCATCTTTCCAAAGCATCAAGAATTATGCCCTAAGACCCCTTGAGGTGAAAATGCCATGGAATTGAATTTTGTAGTTTAAAACTGAATTTTGCACAAAGTCTGAATTTTGAAATCTTTGTTTTGGCTTCTTATCACAAGATTTCCACGCGTTTTTGTTTCTAATCATGTTTAGCAACTTGCCAGAAGTGATTAGCATCATGAAACGCACGCTTTGGCTGAGTTTTGATCAAGTTTAAGTCACACTTTCTTCATGATGCAAACCCACACGAATCCCCTCCAAAACGCATCATTTGCTATTCCTTTTGATCCCATTTGCTTCCCTATAAATAGAGGGTCATCCCCTATTCAAATTCCCAAGCTTAGATAGTCAGAATCACCCTGCCAAACTTGCTTCACAACCCATAATTCAGCAACTTCAAAATCTATTCTCAAGCCTTTTTCAATCCATTTTTCCCTCAATTCACCTTCCTTGATCTTCCCTGAAGCTAACCATATAATTACATTCAAGAATCGTGCCCTATATTGCTCCGTACAAGTCTAGTTTCAGAGCTCTGCAACTTAACTTCAATAGGTAGAATCCTTCATCAATTCTTCAAAACTTTGATATCATTGTGTTGCTCTCATTGCCCTGGTTCTAGTCGCAACACTTACTTTCATCTGGAAATGCGTTTTGACCATGAATTTTCAAATCCTTTTTCAAAACTTTCCTTCCAAATTGCTTGAGCTACAATTTATATAAATTTGGCGCGAGGGTGTGGTTGTTTTCATTTTGAAGAGACGACGCGATTGACATATGTCTGAGCTTCTGATTTTACAGTTTGAGAGACCTGCAAATCATGTTGGCTGGAGGTTGAAGATGACCTACTTGTCATCTTCCAACCAGTGATGGCACGCCACTTGTTATTTTCAAAAATCTGATTTATTAATGATTATGTACATTATTCACTAATGACATGATATGCACAGCGCGCCAGATCCCTTGGATTTGATTACTAACGCATTTTGACTCTCATCCAATGGTCCACATATTTTACTTTTATTTTCTTTTTCTGATTTTTATATTTTAATTGTTTTAAATTTAAAAAAATCATAGAAAATTCATTTTTAGTCCAAAAATCTGAAAAAATTATGAAAAATATTTTTGATTATTCTCTTTCTGATTTTTATTTTTTCACAATTTAATTTTGTGTTTTGGTATTTTTTATAAATTTTACACTTATTTGATTTGTTTAAAATGTTTAAAAATACTTTTATACATTT